TCCCCACCAACTTAAGTTTAGCGCCCAACTCTGCTCCCTATCGAGTGGTCGTTCCTGAGCCTCGATGGCAAAACCAAATTTGGGCACGAACTGGCTGCAACGAAAATGGCACTCAATGTGAGACAGGAGTGTGCACTCACAAAAAAGATCGGCTCTGCCTTGCACCAACACCGGTGACTCGAGCTTACTTTGCCTTTGATGGGGCCTTTCGTGGATACGCCATTAACGGCACCAACTACGAAGTGCAGCTGGCCAATGGTTTCAATGTTCCACTGGTGATCATCCCCGGTCGCTACAACAAGGCTGATTCTGATTGCAAAGTGGTCGGTTGTTTCTCAGACGTGAAAGCCCACTGTCCAAGCGAACTGGCCGGTCGCAACGCAGCTGGCAAAGTGATCAGCTGTAAGTCTCCCTGTGAAGTATTTGACACTGAGTACTACTGCGCGAAGGGTCGCTATCTTGATAATCTGCATACAAATGAGTGGAACCCTGAGTACCGGGCAGTCTTTAACTCGTCCTGCCCTCATGTGGGCAACTACTTTGGCAAGTACTCTTACTACCTGAGAGACCCGTACAGTGTGACTACACAGACCTGCACAGACGAAGGGGCTAACCGCGGCCAGTTTACAATTCAATTTTGTTAATTTTATTTTTCTGTTTGACGGTTATTTCACCAGCGATGCACTTCATTATAATAAATTCTAGTAATAAAAAACAGTTGGCCAACTATCACACTAAACACAGTCACGCAGAAATAGAACTTGATGACGATTTTTCTTGATAAGCTGATTTAGAACTCGGCAACAAGTGCGTGACTGACAGCTCATAGCTCAGTTCACCAACGGTTTGTCTGGTTCGTTTTAGTTTGTTCTGCAGTCTTCAGTCAATAGCCGACCCCTTCTGCTGACGCTTCTAAAACTGGTTGTAGAAAAAGAACAATCTAAGCCTGATCATGAACCCGGAAGGAAGAACCCCCTCACAACGAGCCTACCTGGACAAGGTGGGCAAACTGATCACCAAGTACGATTCTGCTAAGAAGAACATCGAGGAGCTGTTCAACTTGCGACACCGAATTCAGAACATGCTGCAACGAAATCTCACCGAAGTAGGAACAGTTATGGCCGAGGCTCCCTACGACGTTAAGGAGGAGTGGCACCATGAGGTGGCCTTTTGGTGGAGCCAGTTTGCTGACTTTGATACGTGGAACTATGGCTCTCAGAACACTCCGTACTCTTACAATTCTTTGGCTTACCAGTTCAGGAATGTCACCAGATTTGCTCGCCCGCCTTCTTCACACAGCCTGGCTTCTACTTCTGCTTCTACACCAAGGCGACACGTCCTGGAGCGACTTGGGACAAAGGAAAGAGATAGCATTGTCGATCAGCCCAGTAATTCCCCGCCTTCTCTGCCAAAACAACAAGTCGGGAAGGGGACTAACGGCAATGGTCCTTCGCTACCTGAACACCAATCTCCAGTTTATGCTCTTTCACGAAAACGCTCACTCTCTGAAGAGAGCTCTTCAGGGAAAGAGGAGTTCTATGAATGCGTTGAGGAACAGCCTCACTCTAAGCGACAAAAGACTGTCACAGAGGAAGAAGATGAAGCCGAAAAGCCTGCTCCAGAAGAGAACTCTGATGAAGTTGCTGAGCTCTGCATAAACTGCTTTCAGATGCACAAGACTGGCGACTGCCAGCAGGACAGTGACAGTGAAATCAGCGAGGATGCCAACTGATTGAGCCTTTCGATTCACAGAAAATGGAAAACCTAAAGCTACTTTACACATATTTTCGTTTCTCTTTTATATTAGCCAAATTACTAACTAACTAACTAGACTTCAACTTTAACCATTATGTAATAACTCACTTTCATTAGCTAGTTTGAATAAAGCAAAAAAAAGCTTCCCTTTTCGAAACTTTTCCTCTTCTAGTCATATCAGGTGGAGGCGCCACTGAGGCGCGCAGGCGTGAAAAGAAGCCACCGAGCCACTCACACGTGGTGCGCACGCCGTCTTCTCTATTTGTCATTCCGTGCCTTCACCTTGTGATTTTTACCGTTTCTTGTCCTCTCTTTCTTTCCGCATCTCTCGCATTACTAAGCCACCCAAATGGAGCAGCAGCCAAACAGCACTACCATCGAGAGCGGAGATTCCGGCGAGGAAATTAAGTCATCAGTGGAGACCAAAACTACAAAACCCAACCCAAATGAGGAGACCACCGCCGAGAGCAACAAGCTTCCTGACGCCAATGTTCCTGATGGTAAAAAAGAGATCCCAGCTGGTGGTGAAGAAGGTGCCAAGAAGGACGACCAAGGTCCTGATGTGGAGGACGAGGAAGACGATGAGGAGGCGGATTTAACTTACCACGAGAGCGACGAGGAAGAGGACGACGACGACGAGTCCTCTGAGGAGGAGGAGGAAGATGAGGACGATGATGAGGACTATGAGGATGCTGCTGATGATGAAGAAGACGTGAGCATCCGTTCAACTGGGAAGCGTACTCACGAAGAGTTGTCAGGCGAAGAAGACGAAAAAGGAGAGGAAAACGAGGAGCAAAGCAAAAGCCGCAAACGACGATAGAGTAACCTACCTTAAGAGTCATTAATTCTCTACTCTGGTTTTGTGCCGAAATTCTCATGCCGGTTCAAAATGTCTATTATTATTTTCTAAATTAAAACTTCTTTAAACATTCACGTAGGTATGTTGACCTTCTGATACTCTACCTTTAGAAAACGTCACCAATATCATAATCAGCGAAATCAGAGCATCATCAATTTGTCAATTCTCAATCAATGCCCACCTGTCCACCTTCATCAGCACCACCTTTCCCGCCATTCACAGTCTAAGCATTACCTATCACTACCGCTTTTTCCCCGATTCACTGGTGGGCTCGCTGCAGAGGTCACTGCCCAAACCAAACCGTCTCACAGTTCGGCGGTACGATCAAACAAAATAGTAGAACTTACTAAGCAAACATTGAAAGTGTTTTATTGCTAATTTTTGAAAAAATAAGATTTTAGCTGCCTAGAGCCAATATAACAAAAGTTACAGAAAACTATACTAATAAAGAGGGTGTGAGGGAAAGGTCGGATGAAGCAGATGGAAGTTAAGATAAATATGATGAATGCAGCAGTGTCTTCATGACAATGCTGACACGTATTGCTGTGGTCTTTCATTACATGTTGACAGTTCTTCCATTGGGACACACCTTCAAAGTATGACCGAACTCTGTACATTTGAAGCAAAGCATGTTCCGTTTGATTGAGCACTCGTGCACTGTGTGGCCATCATTGCGACAGTAGACACAGTACGCTTCGGCATCGAGACCTCCTTCTTCTCCAGAGTTAGCGTATCTTTTATTTACTTTGGCCGCCTTGGCTGTGTGGTTGGTGAAATTTTCATAGTAAAGTAGAATCTCCTTGCGAAGAAAGCCCATCAAGCTGAGAAGTGATTTTCGATCATAGCGAGCGTTGAANCTTTACTTTGGCCGCCTTGGCTGTGTGGTTGGTGAAATTTTCATAGTAAAGTAGAATCTCCTTGCGCAGAAAGCCCATCAAGCTGAGAAGTGATTTTCGATCATAGCGAGCGTTGAATTCAATCTGCTTCTCTTTGGGCAGTTTGGCAATGGCGTAGCCAGACACTTCCAGAAATAGTTGGTCATCATTTAGAAAGGGCAAAAAGGCCTTGACGGATTTCACCACTGCAGCGAGCAGTGTCTGCATGCCATCAATGTAGGCGGCTGATTCGCTCAGTGAATTGTACCCGGGGACGTCATCCAACTGCTCAAATGCCCATTTCAGATGCTTGCCAATGTTGCTCTTGTTGATGGATCCGGTTAGAGCATTGAAGCTGTCGGTGCTCGGAAAGTAAGGCAGTGACACTTTGTGACCGAACCGAGGTGCAGTCAAATTAATCGACAACGGTGCAGTGGCATTGGTGCTTGGCGATGGTGCAGTCAAAGCAGAACCGGCCTTGAGGAACTTTTGAGACCATGGGGAGGCAAAACGATCCATGACAGCGTTCAGAGGTTTGAGATGGAAGAAATGGGCGAAAAAAGAAATTGTGAATTAGAATGAGCCTCTTCTTGATCAGGTGACTAGATTTCGAATAAACTTGAGAAAGCGCCGCATTCACAGCTATCAAGGTGCACACATTCTGACTCATACGCACACAACAAATGAAATGCACCTGGTTCTGATAAGAGTGCAATTCTAAAATGAGTAATCTATCGATTTGCTTAGCAGAATTTCTACGGAATGTTCACGAGAAATGGGTGTGATCAAAAATTTGTATTTACATTTGGAACGTTTTGTAGACGCCAAAAATTTTGAGATTAAAAATTTGTACAATTTTGTGTGTTTTAGAAATGTGAGATGAGTAAAGAGTAAATGAAATTAGAAGAGAGCAGTATCACATTTCACTCAATGTTGACGACTGTTTGCCATGAGGCGATCGTCGCCGCAGTTGCGGGCAAAGCCCCTGTGCAACTTCTTGCGATCCTTGCCACAGTGACTGGGTCTTGCGCGAGTGCGATGGTATTCAGGCAATGACGACATTGTCAACATCGACGGATTGCTTTTGGCAGACGTTTTGGTCGGCTGCGGATATGTCGTTGCTGGTGCAGTCGGCGGTCTGTGGCCGGCTTCAGAGGCAGCCGCACTGTACGAGTCCTAAATCAAACGGTCCAAGTTAAAGCGATGACGATGACAGTCTCTCAAAAGGCTACAATACCCATAATTTGACAACCTTGTCCATGTACTCGTCAAACAGGTCAGCCTGAGAGTCGGGTATTTCATTAACGAGGCCTTCAAACTGCTCGATCTTTTCCTTGACAATGACAATTTTGGTGCTGCATGTTGAGCTTGCGAGGATCTTCCGGATGATGGACTCGTGGTAGGAGAGCTTGCGGACGAGCCGCTCAAGTTCCAGCTCTTCGGATGCCATTGCCTCAGGGGCTACAGGTGAGGAGAGTGGTGACACTGGTGACGGCGCGAAGAATCCGAAAGGCGCTCGAGAAGACAAACAACAACAAGAAGAGTGTGAGATGCGTTGCCAGTACGACTTCAGAGAAGGCGAAACGTTAATGAGGCAGAGTCTGCGATGACGACATGTAACAGCAGCAGGGACACTAACAACAACAACAACAACAAAGTATGCCTTCTATGAGTGCTCCTCCGAAATGCCTAAGGGTATGAATCAGCGTAGTTAGAACTTCACCAGCTGTGGTGCTTTGCCGTTTGCAGGCAACAATTTGACAAGGCGGCCATAGGGAAGACACGGGCAATCTAGAACAATCGACTTGTTTTAGAGCGGCAAATGGAAGCTAAGCAGTGAAGCCACCTTTGAAACGTGCTCTCAAATTCCAATTCCTGCTGGAAACTTGATGCTTTGAAGTTAGTGCCCGCTGCAGGCAGCACAAAACATACTGGACAGCTTTTACCAATCATAAAATCTTAAAATTCATTGAGATAAAGCAAGACAACTGAAAATAATTATTAGCAGACATTACACATTGCGATTAAAGTATAAAATGGAAGACTNCCGCTGCAGGCAGCACAAAACATACTGGACAGCTTTTACCAATCATAAAATCTTAAAATTCATTGAGATAAAGCAAGACAACTGAAAATAATTATTAGCAGACATTACACATTGCGATTAAAGTATAAAATGGAAGACTGCTGAATATGTGTGTGTGTACGCTTTAGAGAGAGGAAGATAGTTTGGTGCGGAGGGCTAATAGCTTCGACCAAAGAGTGTGTACTTGAGTGCCTTTCGCTTGCAGTCCGGGTGAACACACTTCTGACCGGCTTGCAGCTCCTTCGGCTGCACAAAGGGAATGCACAGCGACTTGGCGCCCATCAGCGGCCCACCGGCAGCGTCCTCGGTGTCCTCTCTGGTGCTTTCCTTCTTGATGACCTCCTCGCAGTCCTTGTCGCCGCAGAAGGGAGCCATAATGATGTACTTCTCGTTGAGTCGATCGAGCAGCACCTTCCAGTCCTCGGTGACCACCATCCGGTCATCACGCAGCTTGGTGGCACGATCAAAGAGCGTCTTGTGAATGGACTCCAGCAGGGTGGTCACCGTCGTCAGGGCGTTCGCCAGCTGGGCCGACGCCTTCTCGCCAGTGTCACGGCGCACAGTGACAAACTCGCCCTTCGCCAGGTCCTTTGGTCCGAGCTCCACGCGAATGGGCACACCCTTCAGCTCCCAGTGGTTGAACTTCCATCCCGGAGAGACGTGATCGCGATCGTCGACCTGTAGAGACGAGTTGAGAACAGCAAACAAAAAGCCATTTTAAAATCAATCAACAACAGACTTGAACATCATCACTTACCTGAACCCTGACGCCGCCGTCCTTCAACTTCAGTGCCAGCTGGTTACACTGCTCATTGAGGCTCTTCACCTCCTCCTTGGAGGTCTTGACGGTGATGCCACAAGGCACAATGACCACCTGAAGAGAGGCCACCCGGGGCGGCAGCACCAGGCCCTTGTCGTCGCCGTGGATCATGATCATGGCACCAATGGTGCGCGTCGACAGTCCCCAGCTCGTCTGGTAGGCGTAGCACTTCTGACCGGGGGTGTTCGGGTCCTCAAAGCTCATATCAAACATCTTGGAGAAGTTCTGCCCGAGAAAGTGCGACGTTGCCCCTTGAATGCCACGGCCATTCACATCGACGTACGCCTCAATGGTGGTGGTCATGTCGCCGCCTGCAAACTTCTCCTTCTCCGTCTTCTGTCCCTTGATCACCGGAATGGCCAGCAGCTCCTCGTAGACGGCGGCGTAAAAGTCGAGAATGGTCAGCACCTCCTTCATCGTCTCCTCCTTCGTGGCAAAGGCAGAGTGGCCCTCCTGCCAGAGAAACTCGCGCGTTCGCAGGAAGGGAGTGGGCTGTTTGAACTCCCAGCGGACGACATTGCACCACTGGTTCAGCTGAATGGGCAGGTCTCGGTGGGACTGCGTCCACTTGGCGTAGCTAGGGTACATCACCGTCTCCGAGGTGGGGCGAATGGCGATGGGCTCAGCCAGCTCGCTGCTGCCGCTCTTCGTCACCCAGGCCACCTCGGGGGCAAAGTCGGCAATGTGCGTCTTCTCCGTCTCGAGGGCGCTCTTGGAGATGAAGCAGGGGAAGTAGCAGTTCTTCACGCCCAGCGTCTTGATCTTTGCGTCAAAGAAGCCCTGAATGGCCTCCCAGATGGCGTACGACCAGGGGCGGAGAATGTAGCAGCCGCTCACGTCGTAGTACTCGATCATCTCCGCCTTGGTGATCACCTCGGTGAACCACTCAGAGTAGTTGGCGGACTTCGAGGTTTCCATGCCCAGACGGGTGGCCTTCTTCACGGCCTTTCCACTAGAGTCGCCAGCTGGACCTGCAGATGGGGCCGGCTGAGAGGCCTTGGCTGGTTTGGCCTGCTTGCCAGGCTTGGCAGCAGCCTCGGCCGGAGCAGCAGTCTTTGCTTTGGTTGACGCTGGCGCTTGCGTTTCAGGCTTCCACTCAGCACCGGTCACCTCCTTGTACTGCTTCTTCAGGTCCAGCAGCTTTGCCACTTCGACCTTCACCGCCTCAGCTGAAGCCTTCTCCGTCTTCAGCTGACGTACTCGGTCTCCCTGGGCTTTGATTTGCGAGTCCAAGTCTTTGGCAGCAGAACCATCTGAAGCACCAGCGGCGGCGGCGGAAGGAGCAGCAGGAGCACTCGATTGCGGTGGCACGAAATCGGGCTTCCAGTCGACCTTTGCGACAGTCTTAAACTCTCCTTTCAATGCGAGTAGCTTTTTAACCGCCTCATCGATGGTAGCCTTTTCAGCCTTGTCGCCCTTGAGCTTCCTCACCAGATCGCCCTGTTGACGAATCCGCTTATCCAAGTCGGCCACGAAATCGGCGGCCGCAGGAGCTGATGGAGTTGTCGTACTAGCTGGAGTAGCACCAGAAACGGCGGTTGAGGGCTTCCACTCCTTTTTGACAACGCTCTTATACTGCAGCTTCAACTTGTCAAACTGTGCAGTCAGCTGGTCAATCTGCGTTGAGAGTGTGTTCAGCTCAGCATCCAATTTGCCAATATCGATTTTGGAAGCAGTTGAAGCGGCGGCGGCAGCAGAGGCAGGTGTGGTCGTTTTGTCATTTCCCTTGGCAACGGCGGGCTCTCCTATGTAGGCATTTCTCTTGCGCCACTCCTGAACTACCTTAGGAAAGATGTTCATGTCCATTGTTCCATCGGGAACGCTAATCAAAACAATGGGTTTCGGCTTGCCAGTAAAGTCCACCGTAGACTCGCCATCGTAGGGTTCATCGACGATAAAGAAGCCCTTTCGCTGAATTTGAATGACGGTGCCCTTGGTGGCGTTCTTCAGCGCCCCGTCCACCACCGCAGAGACGGTCAGCTTAGAGTCCCGGTTGATGTACTGCTTAAAGTCCTCGTCCTTTCCCACCAC